GGGGGAGAACCAGGCTGAGACTCAGACCCTTTGACAAGCCCACAGTTCCTTTTGCCACATAATTGATCCTCCGTCTGGAACTTGAATCAGTGGATTTTCCCCAAGCTAGAAGAATGCACATCCCCAGACAAGACATGATGTGACTGCAGCCGTTCTTGGAGGCAGGAAGGTTGGGGATGGGTGAAAAAGCAGTGGGACTGGGTGCTGAGTCTTTTTTTTTTACTTCCCAGAAGTTAGGAATCGAGGGAAAGGCAAGAGACAGCAGCTGAAGATGGGAAACAGGAACAAATACAGTTTTCTTTGAGGGTCAGGTTAGTTTCCGCCGTATTTCTCCGTTCAGTCTGGTCCTGAATCCACTTTCTGCTCCCTGGTCCCCACCATGCATGATGGGTGTAGTTCACGTGCACACCACTCTCACCACGAGCTCCTGGGCCTGCCTCTGCCTTACAAGAAAGCCCCACGTAGGGCAGATCATTACAAGAATAGCCTCAATCTGCTGTGAATTACCAGCTTGCAAGTAAGTGACAGACTGATGAATTTGACTAAAATTCGGTGGTACTTGTAGCTCATCTCGGAACTGAGGAGGGTCTACCACCAAGTCAGGACGTTGGTGGCATTTACTGCGGTCAACCTAAGTTAGCAGGCAGTGTGCTGAGTCGGGGAGGGAGCCTGTAGCTGTTAATTGACTCACTCACCCATTTGTCATTTATTCAACACACACATTTAAGCTCCCAGGATGTGCCACACATCCTGCCGGCAGCTGGGCACTACTTGTAAACAAACCAGACTCAGCACCCACCCACATGAAACCTGGAGTCTAAGGTCGCGGTTGGCTTCCTGTCTTGGCAGTTATCCAGCTGGGAGAGTACCGTCACGAAAGGGTTATGCAGAGCTGGGACCATAGCCCTCCACCTGAGGATTACTCTTATTGGCCTGAGCCATCCACAGTGTAATCCGGCAGAAAGGTGAGGTTTTAGAGGAAGGGGGCCTGCCCGAGTGGTGTTTATACCTGGGCAGGACACATTAGACTCAGCGTATCACAGCCACCGGGAACCCTTCTAGAAAAGGCACCTCTGTGCAGGCCAGTAATTTATGATCTTCCCAAGGAGACCTTCTAAAGCCCTGTTGGTTGTGTGATTGACGCTTGCCTTGTGCCCAGTAACATTAGGGACCTTAGTTCCACTAGGTACCATTAGGACACATTGGTTAAAGTTGCAACAAAGCAGCTGGTCTAGTGGTCAAAGTGTGTTCCTCAGTTAACAACAACAACAACAAAATTAGCAGGACTCTATTCCATTCTATTAATGAATATATTAAGTTTCAATGATTTTTAAGTTTTTAAATTCCTGATTGTCACATTATGTCACAAGCAAGTAACGAGCATTTAAATGGAGTGTTTAATTCATTGATTTGGGTAGAAGTTTGTGTAGTGTAAAGAAAGAAATACAATTTGTTGTGTTTTCGAAGAGTGTCAAGTAGCATGAAAAAGTGAGCGTTCCTGTTAAAGGCAAAGTAGAAAGAGAAGGAATTTATTTTGCTTTTGATTTAGGGGTTTGTTTGTTTTTTTATTTAATTGCTGATCACCAGAATTGTGGCCAGTGTATCAGACCTGCACTAGACAAAGTGCTCATCTTGGAGACAGGTGAAGAAATCTCCTTCTACATTTTCAGACTTCTAAAGTAAAATAGTTTTTTCAAGGTAAAATTTAAAATTTGACCTAAAAAATAAAATAAAGTAAAATAAAATAAAATAAAACAAAACAAAACAAAATAAAATAAAATTTGACAAAATTGTACAGTCTCCAGGCTGGCTCAGTCAGTAGAGCATGCGACTCTTGATCTCGGGGTTGGTAGTTTAAGCCCCATGATGGGCATAGATCTTACTTAAAAACAACAACTGAAACAGTGCTGCTTAAAATGCAACAAAACTTTCTCCTTAGTTCGTAGTGGCCGCCAGATTTTTCTAAGTCCTAAATATTCCACTGAAGTGAAACAGTGTCATTAAGTGATTTGATAAAGAGTAGCCCAGGAAGAGAATGGCTGTTCCCTTAGAAACAGCAGTTCATCTGTAACCGGTGAGCTCCGGCCTTGGGCAGCTCTGCCTCCTTCCGGGTCTGGGATGGAACGTTCAGGCCACGGCCACGTTTATAACGCGTGACCTGCCAGGTGAGGAGGAACTCTCTTTTGAACCTATTTCCCAAAGTGCAGCGAACCAAACGCTCTGCAGCTGAGCCCACAGGGAGAGGCTAGCTCCTTGGCAGGCAAGGCTAGAATGCCCTGGGAAGTATCCGGGCAGAGCCAGCCGCGTCCCACAAAGCGGTATTGATGGGCTGCAGTTCATGCCCTCGTGCCTCCAAAGGCCGGCTGGGGCTGCTGACCAGAGGAGAGGTCTTTGTGCTGCAGGGCCTGCCCCGAGTCCCTGCCCACCACTGCCCACGCCCATCTAAGTGCCCTCCCGCTTCTCAGTGACCCTGCAGGCTCTGGTGGACAAAGACTGTGTCAGGGTAACAGCGGGCGTCCCCTTTTCAGTAAGGATTCATGCTATGTGCTACACTGCTCCCGTGCCACACTCCCCCAGATTCTCACTTGTAGGCACAAGAACACGTGTGAGGTTCATTTGTTGGCTTAGCTGGTGCTCCCTGTTACTTGGAACGTGTGAGTATTCTGCTTATGAATGTCAAGACCTGTAATTGATTGGGTTTTATTGAAGTAAGAGGGCCTCTGTCTCTTTCCTGCCTCCCTCAATTCATACGAGGCACAGTGGGCCCCATCAGTGACACTTGTCGTAGGTTGGCCAGCCCCGGACGTCTCGCAGCCTCCGCCTGAGTGCCACCTCCACTGTCCTCTGTCTTGAGTTACCCGGCTGAGTGAATGTATGTGGAAGACGTGACTGCCCTTCACATGTGGGCTGTTGTGAATCAGCTCGCTCTACTTCTTAGGGCTGGGGATTTCTGATGCCTCCTTCAAGAAGCCTTCTGGGATCCGTCTACTCAATTCCCCTTCTTCCCAGCCTCTAACAGGATTTGTACTCGCTTATAATTCTGGCCTCATAGTTATGTGGTCCTGGAAAACACTACATGGCAGATCCCATGGGTGAAGGACGGTTTTATTCATCTTTGTCCAGTGGCACGTACAGGGCTTGGCTCTGAGTCCCAGCACACTAAAGGACTGTGGAAGTGTCACCTGCTGTGGCTGACCCAGCATCTTGCTAATAAAATTAGTTGGAACTTAAAAAAAAAACCTGCAGTTGAATAAATTGTCATTTGGCATGTGGATTACCCCAACCTCCCTCTTCTTTTTGTCCTTCTTGTTGTCTCTACGTGAAAGTTCCTGAGGCTAAGCACTGTGCTTCCCTGTTTGCCTTTATCCTGAATTGGCACCTGAGAAAATTTCTAGGAAGTACTTACTGTGTGCTGTGGCCAGCTTAATGGTGTAATTCTCTCCTGCCTCTTTAGATGGTACCTGAGGAAAAGAGAGATGTGGAAATATTGTAGTGACTTTCATTTTAAAATAAAGTTATAAACGAACAAATCTAGATCCACACATCTATGTGCACATACCCACACAGGGGAAAAGGTTTTTACTTGTCAACTGAATTCTGTATTGCTTAGTTTTGAACCAAAGTCTGGCTCTGAGAAAATCTAGATTTTTAAGAATGAGCGATCCTGCTTGAAATGTGTCATCTGTTTATGGAAGATTATACCCTCCACCCATGCAAGGCTTGGGCCAGGGAAGGAATGAGATGGCAATTAGACAGGGATCCGCCGTCTCGTCCAGGAGTCTGGAGCAGGAGTGGGAAACTACTGTTGACTCTCTCGCATATAATCACAGGATTGGGAGGGATTAGCTCTCCTGCTTTGTAACTGCAGCACATAATGTCTCCGGTGCCACCGAGGTAAACAAACGAATACAGGTGTCTGTGAAATAGGATCGTCTCAAAGAGTAATTTTAATATATTTTTCAGGCTTCAGAAGACTTAAGAAAATAACAAGCATAGTGAATGATCTCCTTCCTCATTCCATTTCTTAAAGTGTAAAGCATTTTATTCTATTTCACTAGACTGACACCCTCAAGTCAGGTGCTCAGGAAAGGGCCAGGCAGTGTCCTGTCACCGGTTTTCAGTTTGTAAAGTCCTGCCTCATAACTGCTTGGATTCGGTGAGTGTCAGCTGTCTTCTAAGCTTTTTTTAGGTCTCTTTTTTTCTCCTGAAGAAACAATTCAGGGTGAACTCTCTTTAATTTTTGAGATCCAGTGAGAAGATTCTCTGGATACGTTTTCTGCAAAGCATTGTTGGTTATTTGAGGAAGGCTTCCCCTCACATTTCTTTTAAAAATGTGCTGCTGGTATTTACTTGGACGAGAGAAGTCACTTCGAGTCCAAGAGAAAGAACCCCTGCGCCTGCATAGTTCCGGGGTCTGGCCCCAGGCCGGATCTCCCACCAAACCAGCCGGCATTACCCCCTTTCCCAGCTGCTGACTTCGCTCTTGACACAGCGTTCCAGATGGGTGTCATTTGTCCCAAAGTCTGACCAGGTCAGATCCATTCTGATGTGCGTACGTGCACACGTCCACGCTTTATTTACAGAGCCGTACTTTTTGTTCACTGGTAACGAGTCAAACTGATGTCTTTATGCACCAGTTCTTAGTTTCTTAGTTTCTTTTGAAATCTTCTTTCATAGCTTGTGTTTATCAAGAAAGTGGATGAACGTGGTTTTAAAGACCATCTGTGTGATGGTCTTCAGGGGATTGGTGACTTGGGGTTTTGGGGGGAACGGTACGTCCTGAGGAGAATCATCTCTGGGAACAACTCAGGTTCAGTAAAGCTTTGAAAGGTGTGTGCGTGAGACAGCGGACCTTCCCTTCCCGCGTTTCCAGGCCGCAGGTAGGCGGCGGGCACAGCCGGGCGCCCGCCTGCAGGCGAACGCAGCCTGCGGGCAACACGGCCGGAGGATCTGTCTGTAGGCCGTTCGGTCAAACCTGCCGTGTCTCTCTCACCCTTCAGACTCGCTGTCCGTCTCCAGTAACGATGCCAGCCCGCCCGCCTCTGTGGCCTCTCTCCAGCCCCACATGATGGGGGCCCAGAGCTCCCCGGGCCCCAAGCGCCCGGGCAACACGCTGCGCAAGTGGCTGACGAGCCCGGTGCGACGGCTGAGCAGCGGCAAGGCCGACGGGCACGTGAAGAAGCTGGCGCACAAGCACAAGAAGAGCCGGGAGGTCCGCAAGAGCGCCGATGCCGGCTCGCAGAAGGACTCGGACGACAGCGCAGCCACCCCGCAGGACGAGACGGTGGAAGAGGTCAGAGCCCCCCGGCCTTTCCCCTGGAGTCATGGGGATGCTCGTTTGTCATGGGAACACGCTCCTTCGGTTCCCTTTCCCGTGGGTCCCTGTGACTGTCAGCTCGTTCCATCCCCCGTTAGCAGACTGGGTTCGGTGGGGACGGGCGGGCCCTGGCAGCTCCGTGTTGACCTGGTCGGGACCCACGGTGGCTCCCGAGAAGGAGCGCAGGGTTCCGAGCGTCCCCCCAGGCCTGCTCCAGCGGGAAGCAGGCGCCCTGCTGGCCCAGCCCGCCTGGCCCCGCTGCCACAGACAAGCCGGGAGGTGCCGCTCAAGCTGCGAAGGTGCAGGCCGTCCCTGAGCTCGGCCTAGACCACGGCCGCAGCGTTGCGCAGGCAGGGCCCCAGCTTCAGACGTGCAGGGGCCAGAGGGGTGTGGGTGTCCTCAGTTCATGCTTAACATCTGTCCTCCCCAGCCGACACAGGGCGAGCTTACTTTGCTAACCAGTAAACACTGGATCGTTCCCACGTCATTACAGATACACGGGTATCTGCCAGCCGGGAATTTTTCTAAGTTCCCTTTTCATTCAGGGGTGGGAGCTTTAAATTACACCGAAAGGAACAGAATCCCTTCGTGACCCCCAGGCTAGGCTGTCGGGCTGGTGGTGGCAGTGAGGGGCCCTCAGAGTTTTTAACTGAGGCCCGCCACCCCCAGCCCCACCCAGCTCCCTCAAAAAAAAGAAAAAGGCAGACAGATAGGATAAGATTTGTATCGTTTAATTTGTTTTGCAGACATGGGTTTTCTGCTGCCTTTTTCCTGGGCATGTTCTGCCCTGGGTTTTCACTGCAGTAATGTGGTTTATTATGTCCTCATCTGTCTGTTTTCTACATCTGTGTAGAAATAAAACTGACAACTTTTCTAAAAGTGAAAGCCTAGTAAAAGTAATGTGAGACTAAATTCAGATTCTTCCCGAGCATTTTGAACTGTATTAGTCTTCATGCCATTATAGTTTCAGTGAATTTTATTCTAGCAAGTTATCAGAAACAAAATGGAAGTAGACGAGAGAAACCGAATGAGAGTTATTAAGGGTTCAGGCTTTTGAACTGGTCCCCGGGGAGGGGGTGGTGGTGGACGACGAGATGTGTTCAAAGCCTAACGGATAATGTTGGTGGTCTCTTCAGAAGTCACGCGCGGGGGCCCTTCTCCGGTCCGAGTCTGCAAGCAAGGTAGCTGGTGTGCAGAAAGGGATGAGCAGTTCCCATCGGGGGTGGAAAGAGCTTGCTCCTGATTTCTGTCCCCTCCGTTCCTGTGCCGGCCACACTTCCCCCCAGTTCACCCTTTAGGGCTCTGTCTGTGACCTGATGTTGACAGTCGGGCCTGGAACGTGACGCGCGGACGCTGGTTTGATTTCAGAGGGGCCGGAACGAGGGCCTGAGCAGCGGCACACTCTCTAAGTCCTCCTCGTCGGGCATGCAGAGCTGCGGGGAGGAGGAAGGGGAGGAGGGCGCCGACGCCGTGCCCCTCCCCCCGCCCATGGCCATCCAACAGCACAGCCTGCTGCAGCCGGATTCACAGGACGACAAGGTACGGGCCCCGCCACCTAGCACCAGCGTCACAGCAGGGCTGAGGACAGGCGGCAGGAAGCTGTGCGGCCTGTTTTCACCCCACACATAGGAATACCAGAGTCAGTTTAGAGCAAGCAGTGGGCCAGCACATGTCGTTTCTCCTACAGACACAGTCACTGCATTTTTAATAATGCTTCAGTAAGTGCTGCCTCTAAAGTAACTTTATTTTCTTTTTACTGTACTGACCAGAGTCCCTGAGACAGGAGTCAGAGAAATCTCTCGCAATCTTGGGGTCGCAGCCCTGAATGAACACTAGGCCATCTTGCTCTCTCTGCTAGGTGTTTTTGCACACGGGCATTGTTTCCAGATGACGTGGTGCTGCTGTCCAGTTGGTCTCTCCGGCATGCCTGCCGTTAGTGCCAAGGGTCACCTGGGGTGCAGGGATAGGTGCCAGGGTCTAGGAATCGGTTCACAACCATGAGTCTCCTCTTCAGGTGTATGTGGAGGCTTCAAACCAATCTTGGGTTTTTGTTTGTTTGGTCAGTTCTTACCTGATCTATGACAACTTTGTGCATCCCAGGTGTAGAGCCCTAAAGTATCAAAATGGAAAGCTGGTAACTGGCTTGTACGTCCCCTTACGTTCTGGCCCCGGTGTGCTTCCCAAAACTGGCAGGTGTTGAAAACCATGCTATGAAGTCATCACCGGAGACCTTTTCTTTTTTGGCAGTAACGAAGTTTTCTGAGTAAAACAGATGTTTTCATCATTTTCCCCCATTCTTCCTCTTTTTCCTTCCCTGACTCCCTCCTCCGTGCTAACACGGTCATTTGCTGGACTGCCTGTGTTTTATGATCTGGACTCTGCCCCGGCCCCGTGACCGACAAGTGTGAGGCCGAGGCCGACTACGCAGTCGTAGTCTGGGCAGCCATCTCCCGCCTTCTCCCGCTTTGTGGCTCGGAGCGCGCGGTCAGGGCGCTGCGGGCCTTGGCTGAGGACGTGGCTTGGGTTGGAGTCTGGCGTTTGGGGGCATCTGAGGTGCTGGCCGCGTGCTGCGGGAGCTGAGGGGAGGTGACAGAGGACCTCGCCCCCTGCACAGAGTAGCCTCGGCAGGAAATGGGAATGCGTCACTTCTCAGACAATTCCTAAACTGCTTCGTGGCATTCTAAGCGATACCTTCTTTTAAAGCACAGAACTGACATTTCTCAAATCTGATGGTTAGCCAAAGTGAGGTGGAGGGCCTGGTTGACTTGTTCCCCCAAGAAGAATGTTTTTCTCCATTTGGAGAGTGGATCGCACAGTGTACTTTGGTTTGCTAGAATCACGTATCAGTTGCTGCGTTACCTCATTGGGTTTTATCAGTAGCAGCTCTTCATTTGCAAAAGTCTGTAGTGATATTCCCAGCGAGTATATTACCTTGTGACTAATATTTTGTTTTGTTCTGTTTTCTCTTTTTGTAAACTTTCACTGCAGCATTATGTTGATTTGTGTTCTGTGTCTGTTTTGGCTCAGTTTCCTTACCTCTCCATTTGAATTTTTTTCTTCGTTTTCTTCACCCCATACTCCAGATTTCATTAGACCAAACCAACATTTGTTTTGCAAAGCGCATACATGGATCCACATATGTAAAAGCCTTGTTGTGAATGTACAAACCCATATCTGTCTACTGTGAGAAATGCATCGTTAGGACAGCTAGCCGTGTGTCGCATGCTTCTCTGCTGTCCTTAATATGAAGCAAGGTTCATATTATGCCCTCTTCTAGTCTCCAGTTAATTGATGGCACGAGTAATCTGCAAACACGCCGTGTTTGCTAATTACTGAAACTTGAATTCAGTAGTCCCTCCCTGAAATTCCTTAACTGTCACCCCCTGTACACCCTGATTCTAGCCGTAAATGGCATCTGGTAGCTTGTGAGGCCACAGATCTTCTGTACTCTGCACTAATCATTGGGGAAATGGATGGCACAGAAAATGGTGAGCTCGTCCCCCTCTGCCCTGTCTGGTCAGTGCACCCTGGTTCCTTTCCTTTTCTTTCTTGTTTCTTTCTTTTAACCCCATAAACACAGGAAAGCCATTTTTAGTATCCTGTTTTGTTTTCCGGGTTATTTAAGGATCCACTCATTAGAACTTAAGCCTTTCATTCTTCCGTTGATCAGATTCCGTACTTTTTTTCCTGCTTAGCCACTAGCCTTGCTGGCAGTTGCCAAAGTTATAGTAAGAATCTCCCCATGCCCGGTCACCTCTTTTTAAAAACATTATGATGTTACATGACTGAGGATTAAAAACAGACTTTGTCTGCTTTCCACATGTATCCCAGACAGGTTTTATTTAATATTTCATGTCAGAATATTGTAAATTTAAAAGGATGACTTTAAATAAATGCAAACAAAGACAAACTTGTGGTCTTTTTGTCTGGACTTACTTTGAAAAAGAGCTTGAGCTTGCAGGAGAATTTACTGTCTGTCCGGTGACTAACGTGAGGCATTCCCCCTCCCCCCTTTCTTTTTCTTAACTTCTTCCGTAGGCCTCTTCCCGGTTATTAGTCCGGCCCACCAGCTCCGAAACGCCAAGCGCGGCCGAGCTCGTGAGTGCGATTGAAGAACTCGTGAAGAGCAAGATGGTAAGGTTTCCCAGACAGAGCGAGCCTGAGCTTTGGAAACCGCTCTCGGGGCTGCTGAATGTGCTTGGGGCATGTTACACAGGTGGAGACCCCAAGGCCACCCTCCCTTCTGACCACCCTGCCAGTTTGGGGGTCCCCAACATCACCCTCAGGTTCAGTCATTGGCTTGGACGACTTCCAGAACTCAGAGAAGGCGTTGTACCCGCATTTGTGGTTTATACTGTGAAAGGACATATTCAAGTCAGCCAGGGAGGAGGTGACACGGGCAGGGTACAGCTGTGGTTCAGGGTTCAGGCTTCCAGCCGTCCCCTCCCGGTAGGGTCATGCAGAGTGCTGACGTCTCCTGTCCTGACAGTGGTGTCTGACATCATTGCATGTCACACACGGGAGAGTCTGGCCAGCCAGGGATGCTAACCCGAGCCCTGGTGTTCAGAGCGTTTATTTGAGCTCAGTCATGTACGCAAGACTGACTGCTTGCGTGGCTCCCCTTTGTCCCCTGCCCCTCCAGAAAGCAGGACCCCACGTGGCCCAAAGCCCCCAGCAAGAGTCATACCGTTGGCATAGACGCTCTGTCTTGGCCCGAGGCCCCTCTGTAAACAAACATTCCTGTCAAGAAAGATATCCCAGGAGATTGGAGGTGCCTCCCAGGAGCCAAGATTATAATCCATTCCTGCACCCTCACTGATAGCAGTGCTAACACCATTACAGCTGTGGTCGGGTTGGCTCCACTCGTCCACGGTGTGCCCAGGCTCAGTGGTACCCACAGATAGGTTGACAGTTTCTTTTGCTGTCTCTGGGGTCTTTCTTCCGGATTTACAGTGTACAGGAGAGAAAAGCTTGCATTATTATGTAAGGGCTTTATTTTCTGAGTGACCTCTGCATTTCCAGTTGGTCAACATGGATTTGTTTAATAAAAGCCCCAAAGTCAACAATACTGATTTGAAGTTAGATAGGTGTGCATTGCTTCTAACTGATTCAAAGCAATTCTGTGTTTCTTCAGTTTTCCTATGAGATGGAAAAACCATTATTGGCAACAACATTTACATTACTATATCCTACAACTCCCGTAAAGTGACTTAACATCATTTAAACGTCACCTCTCTGAAAATAAAAGCCCCCAGCCTCTCTTACCAGTCCATCTTCCAGAGGTAACCACTGTGATCAGTTTGGTAGATTTCCCTGCAGACGTTTTCTCGGCAGGTGCACACATATGCGGGGAGGTGAGAGGGACAGGATGCTTGTGCCTGCTCTTTCTTTCAGAGTGGATTTGTGGAGTTTTTAAGATTTTGAGACTTGGTATATCTTGAGGATCTTCTCACATCAGTACATACAGATTTACTTCATTTTTTGTACTGGCTGCATAGTAGTCCACTGTATAGATGGCAGTGATCATCTCGTGAGGGCTTACTCTAACCCAGGCCCCATTCTAAGTGCTGAGCATGTATTAACATATTGGAAGTCCAATGAGGTAGGTACACACTATTGTCATTTTATTTTACACATGAAAAAACTAAAGCCACAGAGTTTAAAAACTTAACCAGCCACGAAGGAGCAGAGACCTCATTATGCTATAATTTATTTAAATACATCCCTAGTAATAATACGTACATGTGTATGTGTGTGTGTATAAAGTTTTCAGTTTTGCACTACTGTAAACACCCATGTTGGCTATGTGTGCGTGGTTGTGTCTGTAGGGTAGATTTTCAACGTTGGAATTGCCAGATCAAAAAGTATGCTTTTTAAGTTTAGACATTTATCTTCCTTCCATCAGGTATTAACTGGGTAATGTTAGATCATTCCCATTTCTTCTACCCCGAGACAGCTTCTAATCAATCATCTGATCATTCTAATCATCAGAGACTACAAAAGAAACTGTCAACCTATCTCTGCTACCACTGACCCTCAGCACACCTTCAGACACTTCCAAACTAATGAGACTATGGTTGACTCAGTCAAGTGGGGATTCTGTCAAGAAAAACTCCAGACTGTCTCACTCCACCATCACTGGAATTTCTTCTCAGGCAGTCATGTTCTGAAAGTGACATGATGGGCTTGGAAGTTACGAAGGTTGCTAGTACTTGGTAGATAACCCAAGAACTTGACCCCACTGGTCAAGAATTTGGGATCATTGCAGTTTGAACTGCGCTAAAGCACATCCTGGCTGTCTCTTTGAGACAACTCGATTGATGGTCTAAACAAAGGGTACTTAAGTTGTACCCAGTGAGCTTTCAAACACCCTTAAACATTTTTAAAACATTTATACTCCTCAGTTATATGATCATTAAAATTATTCTTGTCTAATAATTGAAATAGTTTTCCCAAGCAATGCTCTGAGGCAACTCTTTGTCAGCCTGCCAGGCCATCATTGTGCAAGTACTGACATCGCATTCCATTTTAAGTGGACAGAGATTGGTTTCTGATTAATTCAGATGCGCTTCCAATGCAGAGGAGTTCTATGACACGGTTTCGTTCAGCTCTTACTGCTTTATTCCTTATTCTCAGTTTTAAGGCATTGAACTTTACCAGTCGAAACTAAGTTCTTTCTACTCACTTACGTTTCTCCTTCAGTTAACAGGCCTAAAGCTCTTGGCGTCGTGGAAAGGGCGTAGGTTTTGGAGTCAGGTAGACTTGTGTTCAAACACTGCTGCTTACGCTTAGGCTCTCTGAGCCTGTGTCTTTTAGCTCTACGCTCGGTACAAGTGCTGTTTGCTGCTACGCTGCTAGCAAGGTCCCATCCACATGGGCAGAGTCACTAATGCCTGCCCTTTCCCTGGTGGAAGGACCGTATTTATGCTGTTTGGGATGGACTCACCCCCTCTTCATTGTCCATGGAATGTAATCTAGATCCTGCCCTCTTTTTCTGACTCAAGGGACACATTGCTGTGTGTTGATTTCCTGTCACTAATCCTCTGATGTCAAACGAGAACTGCTTTTTGTCAATGAAAACTCTGAATCATGTTAATACCCTTTAGCCTGCCCTCTCACGTGACCCTGAGCTCCCCCTGCACACTTATCACGTGCCAGAGATGCATAGTCATCTGCCCCCGTTTTCTTATGGGTGACCTCTCAGGCTGTAGCGCCTTGGTAGTAGAATTTGCACACTGAATCAGTTACCCTTCAAAAGCTACATGTTAGCTTAACTGGACTGGGAAGAAGCTGTTCAGCTCGTGCAGCGTGACGTTCAGGCACCTGAACTTAACCCTAAAACCTGCTGAGTCTGTTGGAAAAATAAAAACTACCCTGAAAACTATTTCCTGGGATTTCGGCCTCTCTCTCATCCCCACATTCCTGATCCTACCAGGACTTGGAAGAGGATGCGTCTTGCCTGCACGTCGTTGGCAGTAGGGCAGCAGTGGCCAACAGCCACAGCGACTGTTTGAACTTGACCCTGGGGTTTTCTTTTCTTCGTCGATTGAAATATAAAGGGAGATCTGAGAAAGAATGAAAATAAGTGAAATAAACATCTACCTCAAGAATACTAGAAGAGCAAGAGAAATTAATGAGTTGGAAAACAGAAAAACAGTAGAATAAATAAAACCAAAAACGTGTTCTTTCAAGAAGTAATAAACATCAGGTAACCTTCTCAAGAAAATACAGAGGAGGCACAAATCCACAAAACATGGAATTATATGGAAGTGGCAAACTAAGGAAATTAAAATAACCATAACACCTTCTGTTAAGCTCTTTGAAAGTAAATTTCACAACCTGGAAATTTATCAAAACTAACCTTAGAGGAGATGGATTGTCTGTGCAGACCTGCCTGCATCTAAGAAACAGAGGGAACCTGCCCATAATACACCACCAAACCCAACCCATAGTGCTTCGCAGATAGGTAATCCATCCGACTCTGTGACGTCCCAGGAGTTTCAGTCCCGTGGTGGCCTTTGCCTGGTCACGCCGCCTGTGTGAGAGCCGGCGGGCAGGAACACCAAACCACCATCATGTCCGCCGGGGCGTCTGCACCCTCTCCGGCTGCCCAGCTGGGTTCATGCCCGGCACCTCTGTCCTTTGGGGTCCAGACAGCCGCTCCGCCAGCCGGAGACCAGAGCTTCACAGACCCCAGTGAAGCATCCTGCTTGCAGCTCTGTTTGAAGGGACATCTACAGACATCTTCTTGGTTTTCTTTCTTTTTTATCACCATTGAAAGGAGCAGAATTGAATCCAACGAGCATCAGCTGTTTCCTTGCAGACCTAGACGGGAGACAGTGCGAAGCACCCCGTCCTCCTCCAGACCCCTGTCGCCGTGATCCATGAGCACAGAGCAAAGCCCTGCTATTTCCCGCAGAGTGCTGGCTTCCAGGAAAGGTCAATAACTATTTACTTAAAAATAAGAGTGCTGTTTTCTCATCAAGCCCCGTTCCTTGACGGTTTATCACAAATAAGCACAGCAGTTGGTATGTTTCCACAGCTCCGTGGGTTTGGTGAACAAAATTACATGGACTGACTTTGTGTCCTTAGAGCTGTGCTTAGTGACAAAGCCCGCACTGGTCTGCTACCCTCAAGGGGAGAAAATTGGACGAGCATTGGAGGTTTTGATTTGATAGGAAATATTAAGTGTCCTGAAGTTTGTATTGAACTTTTTGTTTGAAGATAAGCTAATCACACTTTCCCAGTTCAGTTGGTAAACTGCCCCTTGATCGTCTCTGCATCTCCAGCTGGGTGCTTTGGAAATTTTAAAAGAACCGTAACCCATACCCCTAGGAGCTTTAGGAATTCAGGGTAAGAAGCACAGTTAATATGTACCAACGAGAAAGCAAACAGCCGCTAATCGTTGTCACATTAATCCAGGGGCAGAAGTCCACTTCCGAGTCAGATGTGTTGACCACACCGCAGAGCTCTGTTCGAGGTTCCGCAGAGCATACGACACTGAAAACAATCACTCGTGAAAACCAAAATCCAGTGGGGAGTGAGAGTCTAGGATGCGTCATCAAGACAGCATGACGGCTGCTGCTGCCCAAGAGGAGGGAGGTCGCAAGTGTCCAGAAACAGAGATCCGTTTCACTAGGCGATCTGTGTGCACTGACGCGGGAGTCAAGGCTTCGTGGATAATGAAGAAACAGGGCCCACGTTCTTTAACGCAGAACGCTGACGTTGCCATGTAGCCACCACTAAGGGACCCCGGTGATGTGCCTGGGGTCGGCTGGCCTGACGGAGGAGGTTCCCCGCACTGGACAGGAATATAACCGAGAAGAAAATGGCTACGTTCGAAATTCGTGATACGTCCAGAGATGGGTGCAATGCTCTACTGTACACAAGTTGTATCATTTCTAATTATTTGGTGACAAAGAATAGAATGTATTAATGCATATAAATTCACTGTCCTCTTTGTTCTGACTTATTTACCAGCTCCTCTTGCTCCATATTGGTATTCATAGTGGGGGTTTTTGTTACCGAATACCATGTAATATCACAAATGTGGATCTTCTCATTTTATAGTCCGGCTTTCTGTATTTTCTGGTTTATGAGATTTTCCGATCCTAATTTCAGCCTCGTGGACTGTAGGCTGGAAACATGACTGGTGGTCTGGTTTTCTTTCAGGCTCTGGAGGACCGGCCCAGCTCACTCCTTGTTGACCAGGGAGACAGTAGCAGCCCCTCCTTCAACCCTTCCGACAACTCCCTTCTCTCCTCCTCTTCGCCCATCGATGAGATGGAGGAAAGGAAATCCAGCTCCTTAAAGAGACGGCAGTAAGAGATGTTTCCAGTGTCACTGTCGGCTGTGCTCTGGTCTTCGTCGCCTTCAAAAATGTGACTGGGGTTCATCTCTGAATCAGGGCAACCAGGAGATCCAGGGTCTCTCTTTGAATAATTGTGTATATGTTTGAAATTCTCTCAGAACCTCTTAAGGGTGCAGTAAGCCTTAGCTGCAGGTGTTTGTGGTTTGTTTGTTTGTTTGTTTGTTTTTCTTAGAATTTGGAAAAATGTTTGTTCGTTTGTTTTGTTTTATAAGCTGAATGCCCAGCGTCAGGCTTGAGCTCACAACCCCGAGATTAAGAGTCACACATTCTTCCAACTGAGCCAGCCAGGTGTCCCTATAGCTCTAGTTTTTGTTATTTGCATGTTGTATTTTATTTATAAATGATACACGCATGTCTCCTGTCACTTCTAGGGGGGAAAGTGCTGTGCTTTCTATCATATGTATAGTTGTGAAGGAAAAGAAAGCAACATAAAATCAGATGTAATCTGATTCAAAATACTTGAATATTTTTCAAACACACCTTCCTGATAGTGTCTCAGTTCCAGTAAAGCTGCTTACGGTAAAAAGAGTCCTGAAAAACATTACAAAAGGTTTAAACTTGCCTTTGGAGAAGAGGGAAAACTTGTATGCTGCGTGAGGGCAGATACTGGATTTTATTGAGTGTTCTCTCCCAGCAGTCTGTATCTGGTACAAGATGCCCACTCAGTGCTGGTCGAATGAACAGACCAACAGACCTTTTCAAGGCCAGCCGAGGTGGTTTGCTTTTCAGAGCAACCAATTGTCTCCTCTTATCGGAGAGGCCTTAAACAGTTATGAGTGGTCAGACCCAAGGCTTTAAATATCTGAGTTAAATTTTTTTCTTACATGTCCAGTGAAGCTTAAAATAATTGTTTCAAAACAAAACAAACTTGCTTCCTTTAACGTTGTGCCTTTATGCCAAATTTATGTCTAAGCCTCTCTTTATTGTCTGTATATGTGATCAGAGTCCACAGCTGTCATGGGTCATGTACATGAACCTGTAAGTGATTTGGGACATTCAAGAATTAGAGAACCAATTGTGTAAATTTGATACATTACAGATCCAATCCCAGCAGGAGTCTGACCTGACAAAAGCAAAGTGCTAAAGAATTCATTTAGAAAATGAAGAGTTGGGGTCCTAACACTTGTTTTTCTCTCTCTTTCCAGCTATGTTTTGCAAGAACTAGTGGAGACAGAGCGTGACTATGTGCGGGACCTCGGCTGTGTGGTTGAGGTCTGTGTTTTCAGAGATTTAATGACCTATATCAGACACCAAGAGTTGTCAAGGGAGTATCAAACATGTACACCAATAACTTCTCAAAAACTTTAAAAACATTTGACACCCCCCCGCCAAGAAAACTAAGTTTGTGAAAAGTGAAATTTAGCCAATTATCTTAATCCGTATTCACCTTTAAATGCTTTTTTCACATAACGCATCTTTGACATAGTCATCTTTTTTTACAGTTAAGTTTTTAAATTATTTTAGCCAACCACTGCGTTTATTTTTGGGGATCTTGCCCTTAATGATTTACAAAAGTGGATATCCCTGCAGAAACAGGAGAGCGTCAGTGGTGGAAAAAGTCAGCGTGGCCAGCTGTGGCTTCAGATCCACCCTGAGTCCACCTGGGTTCGGGGCTGCTCTGTCACAGCACTAGGCCACCTACTTACACTTTTCACGGAAGAAATGCAGCACTATCGGCATTGCCCAGAAGTTGCTGTGCACTGTGGAGCCATGACAAAACCAGTGCCATCCACACTGGATCAAGGCCATCTCCAGGCTCATCCCTGGCATTGAAGTTCAGGGCATAATCATATTTGTAAACTCAACTCAGCAGAAAGCTGTTTTTATACCATAAGATACTACTGTTCTTTCAGCTTTGTAAATATATCTAGGTTGATACTTTTTGGGTGTTCATTCCATTAAAAGTAGCGGCTTTTACAGTTAATTGTGTAACCAAAGATGTAGCAAGCTCGATGTGTCTGCCTGTGGTTATTGTTAACAGTAAAATAAGTTGAATTTCTTAAGAGATTCCGGTCAAGGCTGAATCCCATTCAAGTTAAATGGAAGTTGTAAGCCACATTTTAGCAACATATTTAATCAACTGCTGTTAAAAAAATCAATTTATGAAAGGAATGTTGTTAAATTCTCATTTAACGAAGTATGTAGATAATCCAAAAAGAAAAGGAAATCTGTTTATATTATGCTGAGAACAGAGGAGATATGTTTTTGGCCAAATAGTTAATGTTTACAAGCTGATAAGATGATTTGTTTTTGTGAAACCATTTACATTTAAATGTCTTCAGTTCCTTAGAAGAATTTGGATCTATTAATTCCCAATAGTTCAAGGAGAGAAAATCTTGGCATGGCATATGACCGTACATGTGGTGCCAGTGAAAGACACTTTTCATATAGGATTTTTGCTTGTTTTTAAACGAAGAACGGGTTGTGAGGCGTTGCAGATGTCTGTTTTGTTCTTTATGAGCGTTGATCCATAAATCATTATCTGACTCCAATACGTTCACTGAAACAAACTTATTTGTAAATGCTCACAGGGCTACATGGCTCTCATGAAAGAAGATGGTGTTCCTGATGACATGAAAGGGAAGGACAAGATTGTATTTGGCAACATCCATCAGATTTATGACTGGCACAGAGAGTACGTAAAATACATGCCATGCCTGACGGTGCACACCCAGCGTCCTCCCTTGCTAAACTGCATCGTGTCAGGCAGATGGTAACGGGTGTTTACCGGTTCGCTTCCTTTTATTACCTGTAACCTCGTGGAGGTAGCTGCTGCAAAGGAAATACAATGTGCCAAGGAGTTTTGTGGTAGCATCTCGTGGCCAGGGGAAGAGTCTCTTCTGTGTGCTGGTCCATCCGGGAAGCCCGCCTGGGGGTGGCTGCCCTGACTGCCTGAGTTCAGAGCCTAGTCCTGACCTTGAGCCATTTGCTTCCCTTCCCTGTGTCTCCGGCCTTCATCTGCACAATGCAGTTCATAGTCTTACCATCCACCGCACGGGGTTTTTGGTGAAGGGAGACTGAGGTAACATATGTAAAGTGCTCAGAACAATATCTATGTAGAGTAAGCTTCAGTAAAGTTTCCAGTTAGAATTGCAGCCATCTGTTAAATAATTACAAATTATTTTAGAGGGCTTTCAAGATACTGTTTTTTCCAAGAATTTTAATGGAAAAAGTAGACATAACTGCACACGAAAATCAGATTTGAGCCCCAATACATGGTCGAACCCGTCCTCATCAGGAGGAGATCCACATGGGGGCTGGTACCACAATACATTTGCCCCTTCAGGTCACCTTACTGCTGATTTTTTTTAAGTTTATTTTATCTATTTTGAGAGAAAGAGAGTGAGAGTGAGCAAGCACGAGCAGGGGAGGGACAGGGAGAGGGAGAGTCCCAAGCAGACTCCAAGCTGTCAGCACAGAGCCCGACATGGGGCTCATGCCACAAACCATGAGATCGTGACCTGAGCCGAAGAGTTGGATGCTTAACCGACTGAGCCACCCAGACGCCCCACCTTACTCCTAATTTTAAAAATCCTTAACCATTTGCAGATTGCTTAATGCCAGCCGTTGATATTGTTGTGGGATGTTCCAGCTGCACTGTTCTGTTCCCATGACCTAGACTGGCCACCTGCTTCCCTGTTTTTATGTGCACTCCTGTCCTCTCGGCCTAGAACATGTTCCCATCACTTTCGAAGCCCAGGTCAAATGATCACTGTCAATTAGACGCGCTCCCTCCTCTTTGCAGATAGCATACATAAATGTGCTTTTTAAACTGTAAAATCCTATGCAGATACAAGGAGAGGTTATCGTGGTAGGTGTATCAAGTAGTGTTTTATTACTTCTAAATGTATCTGTCCTAATAGAGTGTAAAACCTTTGAACCCAGGTACAGGGTCATCATTTTCCTATTACCCCATAGTATCTAACTCAGCTGGACTCCTAAATACAGAATGGTCAACTTCAGACACGGCGTAATTCAGAGACTTCCCAAGAAACTACAGCGAATCTAAGTGTAAGAAGGGATCTTTGGTGCCACTCTCTAGTCTGCCACTTCCAGGTCTGGTTCGGAAGCTGTGACGGGAGGGGAAAACGGCACAGTGCTCCTGGGACGACCACCTGGAGGTGGGGCCTGCCACAGGGTGCAGAGCTGTCTTAAAACCCTAAGTGCTAGAAACTTCCACATAGCATTCATTGATGTGCTGGTTTGCGGGTTAATAAAATACCAAACAGGGCGCCTGGGTGGCTCAGTCGGTTAAGCATCCGACTTTGGCTCAGGTCGTGAGGTCACGGTTTGTGGGTTTGAGCCCCACATTGGACTCTGTGCAATCAGCACAGAGCCTGCTTGGGGTTCTCTTCCTCTCTCTCCGCTCCCCCCCACACGCTCTATCTCTCTATATATCTCAAAATAAATTTTTTAAAAAACCTTAAGTAAAAAAATAAAATAAAATAGCACACATAAATATCAGCGTGGGTAAGTGATCACTAAGGTGGGCAGATGTCTTAAAGTCAGCTGTGGCCCAGAAGGGAGAAAGAGCGACTGTGCACAGCTCTTCTGTTTCTGTGCTTACACCTGATTTCTGTCTTAATGGGAGCTAATACTCCTAACCTAGAGGCTAATTTGGATAGTATTTAAGAAAACTTTATAAAACTGACACAGGTAACATATTCAGTATTTTATGTCTATTCTTCCCCAATCTGAGCTCCCTAAAAATTATCATAGAATGAATATGAATCTCAAGTTTTCAGAAATAAAAACAAGCAATCATCTTGGAAACCTTTATTTTTTTCTCAGTATTCGGCCATGATACATATTTGCTTATGTCCTTAAGAAAAATGAGACAAAAAATGTGGATTGTCCAAGAGAAGGAAAGGTTGCCGGTCATGGGATGGTCTCATTCTGCCTTGTCTTTTAATTGTGTGTCTCTTGTGGTTTCTGTCCTAACAAAATGTTTTTTGTGCACATTACATTTCTTAAGTGCATACCTTACATTTTCCAGTTGATTGTGTCAGAACAGACTATTTTGAAATATAAACCTCAGTCTAAAATCAGAAGGCCAGGGGCACGTGGGTGGCTCAGTCGGTTGGGCGTCCAACTCCAGCTCAAGTCATGATCTCTCACAGCTTGTGAGTTTGAGCCCCACATCGGGCTCTGTGCTGACAGTTCAGAGCCTGGAGCCTGCTTCACATTCTGTGCCTTCTTCTCTCTGTGTCCCTCCCCTGCTTGTACTCTGTGCCTCTCTCTCTCCCTCTCTCTCAAAAATAAATAAGTAAATATTTAAAAAAATTTTTTTAAATAAATAAAAATAAAATCAGAAGGCCAAATTGGAAATGGCTCTAATATTTCTCTTCTCATTTCAGCTTTTTTTTAGGAGAGTTGGAGAAGTGCCTTGAAGATCCGGAAAAACTAGGATCCCTTTTTGTTAAACATGTCAGTACAATAACATTATTTATGTTCTGTTCTGATATGGCCATGCTTAGTAACTGATTTTTCAGATTAAAGGAGAACTTACTGGTAGTTTACAAAAGGTCTTCTGTTGAGAATAAAATCAAACCGTGCAGTGTCAGCGAATTGGAATTAAGCCCCCCTCTTGGACACAAATGACCTGCTTTCCTGGTCACCAAGCCCCAGCTGGCTGTTTAGCTCAGGGCAGTACAGAGTGGCCAGAAGGACCAGAGGCAGACCTGAAGCAGAACATCTGGGGATGTCTGTGGACAAACACGTGTTTAGTGAAGATGGTGATGTACCTAAACATACAGGAGGTTTCGCATAGGAGCCAAATATATGTGCAGATCTGAAATATGTTAACATTAAAGGTCTCTTTAGGAAATTCTTCTGTAAAAAAAAAAAAAATTAGTGATAAGAGTTTTGGCATTTTTTGCAAACCTCTTGAATGTCTGCCTTAACAGAAAACAGATGGATTTTTTTTTTTATATCTACTTCTACATTCATTCTATTGTGGAATTTTTTGTGGTTAAAATATATGAAAACAAATCCGTCCTCATACAGATCGAGCTGGAAAGGTAGGAGTATTTTGATACTCTTTTCAGAAAATTATGGCTAGTTTTCTGAGATGTTACACCAAAACTCGAACAAGTGATAATATCATAAAGCTTAGCTACCATGTAGAATCGGACAAGCCCTTGCTGGACTTCTCCCTTACTGTTACACTAGAAGCCATGGAGGCAGCTCGCATTCACAGGCTTTCACCCTCACACCAGCTTGTGAGATCATGCATTGGTCAGTTGGAAAATACTGGTCAGTTCACCAGGTTAGATCTTCCAGATGCTGAGACATTTTGTTATACAGTATCAAAAAGTCAGAATTGTTCATGTCACCACCCCTCTTTCTAGACCAATCTTTAGGTGTTGTCGAGAAAACAGTGGCATGTGTGGGTTTTCCACAGTTCTCTACCTTGACAGCTCAGAGTTTTATTATTAACAGATACTGCCAGTTTGCCTTGGAACGACACGCTTCTTTTGTTCATGTTCCAGAAAATGTCTGCCAGATACCCAAGTATAAGTAATTACATTTTGTGTCCATCCTTCTCTCAAGTAAAAATGGCAGTCCTCAAAAACCAACAGTTAATTTAGCCCCCAGCTCAGTGCCACAAATGGTTTTGCTTGAGACAACCCATCATATGCACCAGAAGTGTTATGAGGGAGGATCTCTGTTTTGTCACAAGAACATTAAAAAGATATATACTCCATGGTTGAGTTTAAAGAAAATGGACTTTTATTACTGAATCCGGGACATTCTGAGGTAAAACCGCAGTCTTCTGCCAATGTGTGGGGGTGAATATTTGCCAAGATGCCAGCTGGTTTTACACATCAGCACGAAGAAAGGGGTAAATGACATCTTAGTATTAGTTGGAAAATAGTTTTGACCCTCTGGATCCCCTGAAAGGCCACAGGGGCCCCCAGAGCTCTGCACACCACACTTTGAGCATCACCGGATTGAGGGATGGCTTGCTGGGTACCTGTCTCCCTGCCTTCAGCATTTGAGATTAAAGAGGCTTTTCTTGTGTGCTAAAACCAACACTTCCCAAGACCACTGGGCCATTTGGAGGGGTGACAGTCATTCTTCATTTGAAACCAAGAACCCCGTCCTCTTGTTGCCCCTGGTTGCTATTTGCCGGGTAAAGTGAGGGGTCTGAAATACCTAAGAGGGCGATGAGGACAGACTGCTTTGGGGGCTACAAAGCAGAATGCTACCCTAGTCATGTATCTGGAATGTGCTCCCACGGGCCTGAACCACGGTTTTAAGAAAATTCCCTTTATGAATGTGCTGAAATGTGTTATATTCTAGTTGAACCTCCAGTTGTTTTAACCCATCTGTTTGCCTTTTTCATTCCTAGGAGAGAAGGTTGCACATGTACATAGTTTATTGTCAAAATAAACCAAAGTCTGAGCACATTGTCTCAGAATACATTGATACCTTTTTTGAGGTAAGACCCAAGATGGAAACAAAGCATTTCTGAATCTTTTGTTAAGGCTGATGTCAAAAATTAAAATATCATGTTTGCCAGGAATGAAGCAAGTCTCAGGAAGTTAGCCTCAGTTATAAGAGTTCTGAACCTGTTTCTTTCCTGTAAGTCAGAGAGATGAGTAGGAGGTCAGCCTGGGCTTGTGTACTCCCTTAGCTTTCAGAAGACTGGGGTCATTTTTAAAATAAAGGGGTTTATTTAAGCAGTTTTGAACCTAAGTCTCATTACAGATTCAGAATAACTCATGATCTAAACGTTTAGCCTAAAAATAAAACGTGTTTGTATGAATAAAAGAAAGCAATTGAAAGGAGGTCTTTAAACAAGGAAAAAAGACTTTTACAAATAGCCCGCGGACGTTGAAGAGGCCACTCTGAGAAGTCGTGCGGGCCTGGTTGGGTTTTGTGCAGCGTGGCCGTCTTCCCCACTGCCTTTCCTGCCGTGTAGTTAGCATTTCCGACCGTTAGACTGACTTGACAACCGCCTTTTAAAAGACAACACTTAAGACCTTTCTTTTCTCCTTTAAAACCCCAGGACCTAAAGCAGCGTCTTGGCCACAGGCTGCAGCTCACAGATTTGCTCATCAAACCAGTGCAGAGGATCATGAAGTACCAGCTGCTCCTGAAGGTGAGTGTTTGCTGGGTGCAGACTGGGAGTCGGGTGTTTGTTTGGTGAGAAGGCCAGACGAGTGAGGGGAAGGAAGTTTGGGCAGGTGAAGGGACTCTTTCCTGTGAAAAAATACCCAGCAGTCTTCTTCTGATTTTAAATATTTCAGAGTAAATTTCTTAGAATCTAATAAGGCACCTTTACATCAAGGTCTGAATCAAAATGTTCGTTGAAGTGAACTTTTTCCTCACCACAGAACCATTTTCCTGGCTCTGTCGACTCTATATGTTCCCTCATCTTCCTGGGGTCCTGGGTTAAATTCAAATGTCAGTCCCCACCTGTTGCTTCTTTTGGCTCTGACAGGGCTCAGGACCCTTGAGTGGTTTAGATTTCTAAGCACGATTCAAGGCAAAGCCACACGGTTTTCTGGGACAAAAGTGACTGTTGAAATGTATTGAGATTCCTTCGAATACGAATATATAACTTGGAAGCTGGGTATCTACAGAGATCAGAGCTGTCTTGGAGTAAAAGAGGAGCCATTACCTGCTTAGATTTGGTTGATTTTGCTCTGCTACAGCTTGAAATCCACGTAAGGGTATCTTTTCACCAAGTTATTGGGAGAAAGAACTGAGAACACGCAGCTCAAGCGCCTGGCCCGGTGCCTGGCACATCAGGAATGATTCAGAAGGTTAGCTGCGTAGCTGCTGTGTGATCATCGCCCCTATCATGTTCTCTCTGTGCTTCTTGCAGGACTTCCTCAAGTATTCCAAAAAAGCTAGCCTGGATACATCAGAATTAGAGGTACCTACCTCCCCCCAGTGTGCTGGCCCAGCTTTCCCCTAATCCCCCCATGTCTCCCAAGCAGCCCACTCCTGGAGGAGTCTGTCCCTGGGGCCTTGAGTCCCTCCACTGGGATGTGCCCTGTGTACACGAGGGGGTGGGGAAGTCGGGAGGTGGACTTGGGGGTGGATGTGAGGGTGAGCACACCAACCCTCCCCGGAGGGCGCTGACCATTGGTGCTATCTCTCACGCACTCTCTCTCTCTCTCTCTCCCCCCCTTCCCTTACCCCCCCCCCCACACCTGCAGAGAGCAGTGGAAGTCATGTGCATCGTACCCAAGCGGTGCAACGACATGATGAACGTCGGGCGGCTGCAGGGATTTGACGTAATGCGCCTGTTGTTTAAAGTCACCCCTCTGGCTTCTGTCACTTTCTCTGGTCTTGGATTATTTATCTTCCCAGTAGAAAGTTGATCCTTTTGCCTGGTTTTCTGTCTTCTCTCACTTTACTTGAACCTGATTGATATTTTCTTTCAACTTTTTTTTGGTGCATTTGATTTGCTTTTTGAGGACCTTCCTCTGCTCAAAGCCCAGCGCCTGATGGCGGAAACAGGCAGGACTCTGCTTTGTCTCTTGGAGCCTCTGGTGCTGTAACAGCAGAGTTTCCTTCCCCGGCAGGTGGTGGGAGGCAAGGGGCCCCTTGCACATCCATCGTCCCTGGGAGCTTGACTTCAGGGCGGCTGTGTTCAGTGTTACTCTACCAGACTTCCCTAGGAGTTGCCAGACCAGGCATATTATACGTTGCCTATTAGTACCTTAAAAGACATTCCGAATTTTTTAAAATTCAACTACCGAGTAAGGAAAGAGGACAAGTTTTTGCTTTTCTTGCCTACTGTTCTACTAGAGAATTAGGGTTTAAAGTTCGGGCTCCGTGGTTCTCAAGAAAGCACAATCTCCTGGAGGGCTTCTGAAAGCGCAGGACCCTGTGTCTTTCTAATGGGTCCTGCCAGGGTGCCCGTGCAGCTGGCACAGGGATTGCGCCTTGACAGCCTGGTTCAGTGAACTATTTATACACTTTCAATCCACCTTGTCTTTGATTGTAACGGAGGCCAGAGACTCCTACAGAGGTTGGCAAGAATTTTGTCTAGATGACTATTCTGTTGGGGGCTAAGAACTCATTATAATTAAAGAAAATTTTAAGCTCTTTAATTAATAGAAGAAATGTACATTATTCTATGGGAACAAGAAAGGAAACAGAACTTCCTGTATCTTAACTTAGAATGCAATGTTCTCTTCTCTTCCTTTGCACCCCCCCCCCCCTTTTAGGGTAAAATTGTTGCCCAGGGCAAGCTGCTCCTGCAGGACACATTCTTGGTCACGGACCAAGACTCGGGACTTCTGCCTCGCTGTAAAGAGAGGCGGGTTTTCCTCTTTGAGCAGATCGTCATTTTCAGTGAACCACTTGATAAAAAAAAGGGCTTCTCCATGCCGGGATTCCTGTTTAAGAACAGCATCAAGGTAATGTGTGTTTGTGTGGACACACGTACCCGTCACACTGATGAACTGTTTCCTTTTCAGTGATGAAATGTCTTGATCCCTTGTTTATTAAATGTTTGGAGAATTTCCTCAGATATTTTAGAACTTGTAAAAATTCACTCCATCCCTCAACTGTCTGCGTTCTGAAGTGGCTGTTGTCTTGCATGCATCTCTGTGTGTCCACAGCCGTTTCTCGTCATGGTTAAACATGATGAGAAGACCTTATCTGGGTTCGTTCTTGTGTACCACCATTCCTGTGACCACGTACAGCTTAAGTTCAGAGTCACGGATGTGGAATATTGCTCTAAGACCAGAGCAGAAAGCTTTCCCAGTGTCTTATTCTTTGCCTCCAGCCGATGAGGACACACTGAGCCATCAGAGCTGGGCGTGGGGCCACAGGGGTAGATAAGACAGGCAGTCTGTGCCCTGGAATAGCTTGTTCTCTGAGGAAAGAGAAACACAAATAAGTAAACGTAAGTAAAATAATTGCAAACGGCCCCGAGTCCTATGAATGGGACAAACCAAGGGCAAGGCAGAATAAAGCAGAGGAGGGGGCTTGAGGGCCTAGCAGATGGTCCCTGGGAGATGCAGCCTGCTCACCCACTTCTCCCTCCCTGTTCTTTCCACGTTGGCAGCCTTGCAGCCCTGAGCTCAGAAGGGAGGCGTGCATCCCTGTGTTAGAGCCTCCTACCATCTGAGCCCTGAGGTCTCAGCACCCAGGTGGGACACCACACCATCCAGCTCCCCGTCAGGCTTCTGGTGGCCACCTGCAGCAGCCTCCCTGCTTCCCCTCCCTTCAGGCTGGGAGAGGCTCTTCTGCCCAACAGGACGTGGGAGGCATCAGGACTGGGCTGCATGAAGCTTCGGGCCTCTCCTGCCTCCCACTGTCCTCCGAATGTCTTCCTCCTGACAGACTCTCCACTCCATTCCAGCAGCATAGAAACCCTCTATATGTTCTTTTCCATGTCCTGCTTCTGTAAAACTGTTCTACATGTGATACCACATATAATTTCATAACGCGTTATACTAATAGGGTTTTTGGTGTTTTTTTTTCTTCAAAGTTTATTTACCATTTTGAAAGAGAGGGACAGAGAGAGGGAATCCTAAGCAGGCTCCACACAGTTGGTGCGGAGCCCAGCATGGGCCTCAAATCCACAAACCGCAAGATCATGACCTGAGCTGAAATCAAGAGTTGATGCTTAACCGACTTAGCCACGCAGATGCCCCAGTAGTCAAGTTTTTAAAATGGCGTCATTTTATTTCTGGGGCAGAGAAGTCAGGGATACACAAACACCGGGTCATCATAAAGGAGTCAGAAAACCAGTAACTCCCAGGCCCTCGTTTCTAGTTAATATTCAAGCACTTAGTTAAATTCTTGGGAATCCCCTTGTCCCTGAGTTAAGAGAATCACTGAAAAGCATCAAGATGATGATATCCAAGGCTATAAAGATGACGGCTCAACCAAAAAAAGTTTGTTTCAGTTTTGACGTAGGATGAGCTTTACATCGCACCTAGCTGCTGGGAATCCATGTGCTTTCGTTGTTGGTGTTGTGGTAAAATACACACAAATTTACCACCTTGGCCATTTTTCCGTGCACAGCTCAGTGGCATTAAGGACATTAAGTACGTTCACATGGTTGAATCAACCGTCGCCACTGTCCATCTCCAGGACTCTACTTATCTTGCAAAACCAAAATTCTGTGCTCATTAAACCACCACTCCCCATCCCCCCCCACCAGCCCCTGGCACCCACCATTCCACTCTCTGGCTCTATGAATTTGACCACTCAAGGTACTTCATCTAAGTGAAATCAGAACCGTATCCGTCTGCTTGCGACTGGCTTATTTCACTTCGCATAATGCCCTTGGGGTTCATCCAAGTTGCGGCATAGGTCAGACTGTTCTTTTTAGGGCTGAATAGTATTCCCTTACTCATTCCATAACCCGCATTTTGTTTATCTGTCCGTCAGTCAGTGCACGCTTGGGTTGCTTTCACTTTTTGGCCATTGTGAATAATGCTTTAATTTTTTTAAGGTGAGTTGCCTTTGCCTGGAGGAAAACGTGGAAAACGATCCCTGTAAATTTGCTCTGACATCGAGGACGGGTGGTGTGGTGGAGACCTTCACTCTGCACTCGTCCAGTCCAAGTGTCCGGCAAACATGGATCCATGAAATCAACCAAATTTTAGAAAACCAGCGTAACTTTTTAAATGGTAACGTGTGTTCTTGTCTTTCTTTCTAGAAATCTACACATTTCTATTTCTGTTTCTCTTCTCTCTACTATTACATACCTAATAAATGACAGGACATATTTAGCACAGACTGTGTTTCAGGCACTGTTCTAAGCCCTTGTTTTATTATTACTTCATTTCCTTTTCACAGTGACCCCTGGTGGCAGGTACCACTATTACTCCATTCTACAGACGAGGAAGTTGAGGCACAGAGGGGATTCGTAATTTATTTCAAGCCCCACAATTTCTTCATTGCAGAGTCAGGATTCCAAGCAGGCCAGTTGGCCTTGGGCACATGTCCCACACAGTCTCTCACACCATTTGTGCCCTGGAGCCCTGTCCTGGGAGGGGAATGCTTGAGAAAAACTGAGGCAGCAGACAGAGGTGGCCCTAGATGTCAGAGACATTTCTCCAGTGCAACTTTGAAACTTGGGTTGGCTGGCGTTGCTCATCCATACCTTCCACTTGCATTGGAAAACAAGACATATTTGTCCTTCCCAGTTTCCGTGACATGAGTGATTACAGAGGAGCCAGCAAAGCACCTTAAGGGACATGTCTTCTCCACAAGGAAATGGACCATACTGGCTTTTTTAGAGCGTTCCTTTGACTCTTTATGTCGGCGACTGCTTGCTTCCCTTTGTGATGGCCAGCTCTGACTCTGGTTCTAATTTGGCGATCATTGAAGAGCTCTGAGAATTCAGCCAAAAGCTAAATACTCATCTAATGTCTTCTCTCATGTCTGTGTTATGTCCCAGCCCAATAGGATGTTGTAACTTCTTTGTCCCCATAAAACCATCTTCACACCTCACATGACATTCCAGAGCCAGGAACATAGGCAGTCAATGAAAAATCAAGGGCAAGGTATTTTGGGCCAAGAAGAGGTCAGCTGCCTGGGTGTTAACTCAAGCAAGACTGATCATTTTTTACATTTGTAGTTGGAATTGGATACGTGGGGCTAGTGGGGGCCAGGGGACGGTCCCTGTGTGTGTGTAGAAAAGTTTCTCACCTAGGACGGTGAGTCAATGCAGGCCTCTTTAAATGCGTTGTTCTTAAGTGATGCATTCATTAAATGCTAACCCATAGCATGTAACTGTTGGGAAATCTCTAAATTTTTACCATCATCTTCAAAATAAAAGGAACTGCCTCCCAAACAGGAAGCCTGTGTAGGCCATGCTGTTAAAGTTTACTAGACACTCTCTTCAGTCTAGGCAAAGTCCTATTCTGGAGGGTTGAGCACCATCAGGAATGCAGTGGGGGCTCTAGGCATGTCACATCTCTCCCTCTCGCCCTTTGTTCCAGTGAGAGGTCATGGCCAAGACAGACTTAGTAAAAATGTCATTCGGCTCCAAAATGCTTGTTCACACATGCCCGATGTCCCCCCCCAGACAGGAAGGGGTTCTAATTGTTGTATTTCTCAAAAGTTTTAACACTTTAAGGATTTGTGTTCGTATTTCCCCATATCTTACTTGGCATGTTTCCTTCTGTCCCTGCGGACGATTATGTAACAAATGAAGCCATTGAAGTCAGGAGATGGGATGGCTACTGGACCCCCCCCCCC